GGGGGGCAAGCCCCCCCTGGAAACAAGAATAAAGAAAACACACAAATGCAAAACAAAAACATGAGCGGACAATTGTGTTTATATATAAATGTAACAACAGTGGGGGGTTTCAGGGAGCCCCCTGGCAACAATAATTTTGTGGACAATTGAGGTAGACCTAAAAATGAGTTAATGGAACAGGCCAAGCCTTGCTTCGCAGCACTCGCCAAGTCGCAATCAAGGCCCACGGGGTTGCAATTATGCAAATGAGCTCTCGTGCACATCTCTCGCCCTCCATTGTACTTTGCTGGACCAGGAGTAGCCTAGGCTAGCCTAGCAGAGTCGCGAGCAAATAAGAATAAATAAGAATAGCGGACTACGAGATTAGATTGACCAATTAGCCTCAAGGTGTCAGGGTCGTGGGTCAAAGGGCACGGTGGCATGGTCGTGATGACTGAAAAACCCAGAAAGAGACGTCAGTCGATTGTTGGCAGTCGAAGGGTGAGGACGTAGAAAACAGTAGGAGAGTGAATAGGGGAGCTCGGATAGGAAGGCCACTAGGCTCCGGCTCCAGGGGCGCCATAGCGAAAGTAGTTCCAACTGGTGGTCCGGGAAAGTACAATCCAACCATCTAGATTATCTAGATCTAGATCTAGATATCTACAAAGTTCTCTGAGTAGAAAAAATCGAAATGAGAAGAGATGGCAAAGAATTTGTGTAGCTTTGCTTTCCTGGTAACTACGAGGATGATCAGTCAAATTTGACCGGTGCTCACAGCGTCAGCAAACCAGACCAGCTTATAAGGCTTATAGGAATTGCAGGCATCACCCAAAATAATCCAATGCTTTCAAAACATTAACAAATTAGTTGTGAACTAAAACATGAATAAAATAAGGTGAAATTAAGCTTAGGTAATTCAAAATAAGAAAAATTCATCATCGTAATCTACTCAAAAATTGTCAACATCATTTTGTACCCACCATCTTGAAAGTGATGTAGAGCTAGGAGTTCATGCGAAAATGACAAAGCTGAAACGGAACAAGGAAGGATATCTTCAATTGTAATTGATTATTTTATTTTTTATTACTATTTTAGTCAGAATATAGGTGAAAAGCTAGACAATTTAGCTCATCATTGAGTAAAATATTGTTTTGGGAGAAGTATTCGAAGCTAAACTCAAAATCGAAACCAGTTCCCACGCCGCGCGGCAATTTTCGGTGTTTTATTAAGACCTTTTGCATTCTTAATTTTCATTTATTCATTAATTTTTAATA